TGAAGACTCAAACCGACAGTATCCTTAAGGAACATCGAGCTAGACATAGCAATATGTCTAGAGCTCAACATAACCTTATAAAGGGTCTAGCAAATGATCCATCTATTGTATTGAGACCAGCGGACAAGGGAGGTGGGATTGTGCTCCTTAATTATGGAGATTATGCATCAGAAATTAACAGACAACTGGCAGATCGTAACACGTACACCCCCTTGAATAATGATCCAACTTCCAGTGTGATGTGTAAAATTGAAGATATTCTTACTACAGGTCTAAGAGCGGGATTTATAGAATTGGATTTATTCAATTTTTTGAAGAAAGACAACCCGAGAACGCCAATTATATACACATTGCCAAAAATACACAAGAATCTACAGTTACCACCTGGACGCCCTATAGTCTCTGCTATCGAGGGGGTGCTAGAGCCTATTGCTAAATACTTGGACTTCTTATTTAAAGAACCGGTTGAGCATTTACCAACGTGCATTAAGGATACACAGGACCTGATTGACAGATTGAAGAGAATTGAACATGTTCCCACAAATTTGGTGTTAATTACATTAGATGTGCAAAGTCTCTACACTATAATCCCCCATGAGGAAGGTATAGAAGCAATGAGACGGATATTATTGGAATCATCTTACTATAAGGGTCCTCCTATAGAATTTGTCATGGAATTGCTTATGCTAACACTCCAACTCAATTATTTCAGATTCGAAACCCGATGGTATATGCAATGCTCAGGAACATCGATGGGTGCGGCGATGGCGCCGATGTATGCGAATGCATACATGCATATATTTGAGAGAGAACACATCTTACATCCATACAGAGAACGAATCGTACAATATGTGCGCTTTATCGATGATATTTTGATTCTGTGGAAAGGCTCAATAGCTGAGGCTGAGCAATTCGTGAAGAATGTCAACTGCCTCCCCAGTCCTGTTAAAATCACGGCTAACATCAGTGATACAATGGTACAGTATCTGGATTTGGAGATTCTCATTAAAGACAACAAAATAGAGTATCAGCTTTATTCAAAACCTACTGATAGAAACACCATACTGCATTTTGAGAGTGCACATCCTGAACACAGTAAGAAATCCTTACCATACACTCAATTTTGTAAGAGTGTTTCGGAATAATTCATCGGCTGAACGGGTTGAAAATCAAGTGGATAGCATGTACAATAAATTCCTCATGAGGGGATATAATCGGCACATACTTGATGCAGCTTTAGATAAAGCAAGAATGGAAATGGTGAACACTGTGAATGTACAGCAACAAACAAGGACAACAAGATTGACTTTTCCAATGAAATTCAATTCTGCTAGTACCAAACTTGTTCAAGCTGTTAAGGGGAACTGGTATATTTTAACGGGAGATCCAACTCTGCCTACAATATTCTCTCAAAGTCCAATGATATGTTACAAGAGGGAGAAAAACTTGCGAGACTTGTTAGTCCGCATTGATCCGGAACAGAGTTATCTGCGGAATCAGAATAAATTTCTCAACCCAGGTTGTTTTCGTTGTCTAGGATGTGTGACCTGTGGGCACCTTATCCCCACGAAGTCTTTTTTTCATCCACACACCCAGAAGAAATACATAATTAAACAACGCATTTCTTGTAAAACAGATCATGTTATTTACAAACTGTCATGTCCGTGCGGATTACATTACGTTGGGAAAACGGATACACAATTGTGCGAAAGAATAAGGGGACATCGCTCAAGTATACGCACGGCGATCAGAGATGGTAGTACGGATAAACCGGTGGCTCGTCACTTTTTTGAACATAAACATCCATTGACATCATTGAAATGTATAGCCATTGACCACATTCCAATATCTAGAAGAGGAGGAGATCGCTCTAAGGCATTGTTGCAGAGAGAGACATTTTGGATTTGTGAATTAAATACTATGGCCCCCATGGGCCTTAATGAAAAATTGACATTCACATCGTTTATTTAAGTGGTTGGATAAATTATCATATTGATTTTATTATCATTTTTTTGTCTGCAAATATGTTTGCAGCATACATTCCCAGTGTATCTGATATGGATTAAGATATAGGCATATTTTTTTATATGTGGTATTTAGACTTTCTCAAAGGGTGGTTTTTTCCACTCCTTAGTATCTATCTGTAATTTAATAGGGACACAATTGTATATAAATAATATTTTGTCTCTAAACTTTGAAATTTGGGAATGGTGCTGTTAAACAGCAGAGTACATGTTATTATATTTGTTGTTTAGGTAGTGATCTTGTATCATATAACACTGTAACCCCATAGCAATAGAGTGTGTTCACTTACTCAATTATTAGATAGAATGTATATATTTGCACATGTCACTTTAAGTAATCATCACTGTTAGTTTTTTATTTTTGAGCACTTGCACTTTCTTTATATGAGGTAAATTAACCCTTACCTCCTTCCATCACACTTTGCTAGCATATATGATGACGTGCACTTATACAAATTGATTACACTATTTTTACTGTATCAATAAGAATACATTGTAAATAAGAGAATATGAATAGATTTGCTGGCTGTGTTAGTTGCCAGCTTAACATGAATACTAAGTTGATATCACAGCACTGGGCACTTTTAATTTGCGTCCACGGATCGCTGTCTTTTGCGATCTGTTTACAGGTTGCTAGGGTGACGGGTAGGCTGCACTTTGGCACCGGAAGTAGATGAGCGGAGTGACACGCATGCGCACTGGGGAACAGACCACGCCGGCACACAGGTGGGGACGGTTTGGTAAGTTAGCTCTCTCTTATTTAAACTGAATGTTGTATTTTGTCATTTATGTCCTGATGAAAGTCCACGACAATGGACTGAAACGTTGACCTCTTTACCAACTGGATTAAAAGGTTTTTTGCATTTTTTAGCATATTGAAAGTCCTTGAGTGCTGACTCTTTTTTGAAAGTTATATATATATATATATGTGTTAAAAATGAAAAAAAAAGATAAAAAATAAGTAATTAAAAAATATATGTGTGTAATTTCATTCTAACTGTATTATGAAATTAATATATATTGATATCAAAATACACTTAGAACAAAATATATATAGCTATATACATAAATATATATGTATATATCACTATATATATATATATATACACACATATATATATATACCTATACCTATATATAAATAAAAATTATTTTACACACACACATATGTATATATTTTTTAAAAGTCTTTACAGACTGAAACGTTGACCTGAACGGTGAGTATTCCTGTTATTGCTTAATAAAGCAACAGTTATAATTTACTTTAAAGACTCCTGGGTGCTCTCTACTGGGATCGAATACGTATATATATATATTTATTTATTTATTTATTTTTATTATTATTTATTTATTTATTTTTAATTCTACATATATGTTTATGTAATATTTTTACATATTAAGTCATTTTTAGATTACAATTTGCGGGACCTGCCTGATAACCCAGGCAGAAAGTCCAGGGAATTTAATTTGCTAGCACTATATTTAACCCTGTAACTTTCCAAGACACCATAAAATCTGCACATGGGGGGTACTGTTTTACTCTGTAGACTTCGCTGAACACAAATATTAGTGTTTCAAAACAGTAAAATGTATTACAACAATGATATTGTCAGTGAAAGTGACGTTTTTTGAATATATTTACACACGTTTTATAGTTTTGAAACACTAATATTTGTGTTCAGCTAAGAATCCTGAGTATAACAGTACCCCTCGTGTACAAGGTTTTATGGTGTTTTCAAAAGTTAAAGAGTCAAATATAAGGCTTGCATGTCCGTTTTTTTACATTGAAATTCGCCAGATTGGTTAAGTTGCCTTTGAGACCATATGGTAGCCCAGGAATGAGAATTAACCCCATGATGGCATACCGTTTGCAAAAGTAGAAAACCCAAGGTATTGCAAATGGGGTATGTCCAGTCTTTTTTAATAGCCACTTATTCACAAACACTGGCCAAAATTGGCATGCAAATTAGTTTTTTTCATTTTTCACACACAAACATAACAAATATTAACACTAACTTATTCATATTAAATTGTTTTCATAGCTAAATATTTGATTTTAAATGAAAGCCCTATTTCTCCTGAATAAAATAATATATAATATATAATAAGTGTGGGTGCACTTAATATGAAAGAGGTGAATTATGGTTGAACAGACATTTAGCTCAAATTCCAGTTTTTGTTTACATTTTATTTATTTTTTATTCCTTGTTAATTTTGCCAATTTAAATACAAAAAATCCTTGAAGGGCTAAATTTCTTTTCATGAGAGACACTGAGGAAGCATCAAATAATCTGCTTTCCCTGCTTCAAACCCACCTTTTACAAATAACCACACTACTGTATCACCTTTTGAGAGATGACGAAGTCACAATTTTCAGTCTCAGACGTCTTGTATTTCCTGTACACCAAGAAACATTCTTCGTAAATGATGTTACAATTCGCCAAACCTGAACCATATACACCCTGTTTAGGCATCTGAATCATTCTATTATTATTTACACTCTGAATGTTGGGTCACTAGAAATCGTGACAGCGAGTAAGCCGGGGATTCATTTCTGATCATAAGACTTTAACATCCAAAAATAATTGAGATAAAACAACAAAATAATTATTCTTATCATACAGCAAATTAACAGATTTAGTCTAAACTAAATCATTTCACCGGAGATGTATAATAGCAATTCTGGGGTAAGGTAAAACGGCAAAACATTTTTTGTCTATGCCAAAATAATTGCAACCATCTTATACCTTTGACACTAAACCCAAGTTTACTCCATAAGTTCTTTCCTCTTCTTCTGAGCCCAAAAACAAACAAAGGCATGTCGGACTATCCAAACAATTGTTGGCTGAAGAGCTCCTGCATAAAAGAATACAGTAGTAGAAATCAAAGCAATGTAGCATAAAGAAAGACAAAACACCAGTTGTGATTTAAAACAATTATTTATTCACTTGGATACAAAATATGACGACCAAATAACACTGCCTTAGAGTTACTTATAAAAGCTGAGGTCGAACATAAATTTTAAACATATTAGATTCCTATCTGCCCAATTTTCTTATCAAATTATCACCTACCCCTGGGCCAGACTGGGAACAGAAAACAGCCTTGTAAAAAAACAAAAACTCCAGTCCTATATTTCATTACTCATCACTCACTGACACATACAAGTACACTACAGACAAGCTCACTGACATACACATTAGCTCTTTGACCCATACACAAGCTAACTCCAGGCAAGCTCACTGACACACACAAGCACAGTACAGACAAACTCACCAACACACATATGCTCATTCACAGAGGGCAGTCTGAGGTTTCTTCATGATGTTCTCTTCCCCTTCCTGTGTGAAAGGCCAGCTTGCGGAGCCTGGTGGGCTGAGCTTCTGTGCGGGGGTTGGCTCCTATGGGACTGGGCATGCAGAGCTGGAAACGGAAAATAAGGTTTTGTGAGAAAGACTTTTAGTGTGCTCTCATTCCTTCCTGCTGCAGCCAGATTCCTTCCTGCTGCAGCCAGATAATCTAACCACTGCCGCCATCCTGTTATCTGTCTGTCCCTGGCCCCAACAACATTTCTGAGGAGGGAAACAATAAATATGTGCAATGTGCTGCACTGCCGGCCAAAGGTGAAACACCCACCGGGAAATTTCCTGGTATCTCTGTGAGAGTTAGCAGTCCGGCCTTGACGTACACCAAACCTCTCGCAGCTTCTATCATTGGCCAATTGTAAAATAAATGTGATGAGTATTTACAGTCACCCACCAAGTTTGTAAAATTATTTATTTAAAAACTTTTACAAATTGAAATTTAATTAGAGGTTAACCTCATGCCTTTACCCTCCTGGTCAGTTTTGGTCCTAGACAGAAAAACCAAGATCTTATCATCAGAAACTACAATATCATCACTTTGCATCTGAAGGAAAATATTTGCTCCCAGTAATTAACTCACTAATTGCTAAAGCTATAAATAACGCTATTGAACAAGCACATTGAAACAAAATAGCATAAAATTTTGAAAAACAAAATAAGCTAGCATCTTTAAAAATTCTAAGTAATAACTCTAACAAAACAGGTTTTCTATCATCCCTACTAATGACTTTTTTGATATCCTCTCAAAATCTGTTTAACCACAAAGAAACTCCTAACAGACCTTTTTTCCATCAATTTATGGAAAAAAATAATCCCTGTCAATTCTTTAGCAATCCAGCTCCTTCAATGGCCTATCTGAAATAAACTTAAAAGATAACTAATAGTTATATATCTGTGAGATTCTAAAGGTTCATACTCAAAACCCATATTAAACCAAAACCACCCGTTCTACGCCTTAATATAAACTTTCCATGTCACAGGGGCAAATGATGACACAATAAAATAATTTATCGTTAATAAATCAATTTCCAAAAGTTGCTCGGGAATGGGGAACCCTCCATATCTGCTTGAGGCACCTCTCTTCGGAACACGTCCTATTGGAAATGGGAAAGACCAGATATTATATTAAACTTTCCAGGAATATTTTTTGCTCTCACCCATAAATTTAACTGTAAACAAGCAAAAACTAAATTTCTAAGTAAATTCATGTTTATGCAATTAGCATTCAAAGAATTAATAACTCAGACTAAACTTAGGTTCTCACAGTGAAAAACAATGCAAGACCTACTCAATTCTTTTCCCTACAAAAAAACTGCAGTTACTATAGGAAAAAATTCCAATAGTGTAAGGTTCTTTGTAAAACCAACCTCCACCCAATGATCAGGCTACTTCTGCGCACACCACCTGCCCTTCCAAAAGATACCAAAAACTCGTTCTGGCTGCATCAGTAAAAAGTTGCAGTACATTAGAGACCAAAAATTCCATTTGCCAAAAAAAAACCACCTACCATTGAACTTTTGTAGAAACACATCCCAAATCCTGACATCCTGCTTAATCTGATCTGAAATTCTAACATGCGCCAAAAGCGGTTTAAATCTAGCAATGATACCCAAAAATTGAATGGAACAATTAGGTAAAACCGTCTTCTTTTCTGCTAGTGGAATATTAAGAATTCTCTGAAAGTTGTCAACAAATATAGACATTCGCTAGAGCCAGCACTGCCAACAAACAGAAAATCATCAAAATAATACATGATCCTGCTTTAACTAGACTCCTTTAGCATGACCAGGAAAGTTCCTTTACTCCAGGAAAGTTTGGAGGAATTGAGCGACGCTGGAGGTCCTCACCTGCTATAGAGCAGGAAGTGCCCTCTAGACAGCCACTAGAGGTGGAGTTAACCCTCCAAGGTAATTATTGCAGTTTATAAAAAAACTGCAAAAATTACACTTGCAGGGTTAAGGGTAGTGGGAGTTGACACCCAGACCACTCCAAAGGGCAAAAGTGGTCTGGGTGCCTGGAATGTCCCTTTAACACAAATGTCCCTTTAACACAAATTATCAACCCAAACATTTTTTTTTCTGTAAGTGAACAACACCTGAAGGTTGTCTAGATATATTTACTAAATTTGTTTGATGAAGAATGAGACTCCCACGTCTTTCATTCTCCATTTCAATGAATCATGGACGTTTCAGGCAATCCTGGAGACATTTTTGTAAACCTCTAAAATGCTTTCCAAGTGCCGCAACAAACCACTACTGTCAGGATTACTATATGATCCAGCATGTAGAATTGTGTTACACAGATGACTAATAGGTAACGTATTACCGGGCCTTAGAATGGCCGGACTAACGTACCAAAGAATAGTCAGGGTGCTAACCGAGGTCAGGGGACACAGAAAGGGACACAACGATAAAGGAAAGCCAGAGGTCAGGGATACCAGAAATAGATGGGCAAGACCAGGCTTAAGGGGGAATTTAGCATGAAAATAGCGAATCTTGCGGCCAGCATGTATATCAGAGTCCGGGACCCAAGAGTGGTCGGCAGGTCAATAACCCTTCCAATCTACTAAGTACTGCAAAGTGCCCAGAGAAAACCGATATGAGTGGCACTGTGAACTGGCAGAGGTTGGCAGAGTACACGCTGTAGGGCTGACACACCCGCTTGAAGACAACTAACTGCTATTCAATCTATAACAGTGAAAAAAGTTTTTTGTTTTTAAATGCAAGCTATTATGACACCAGATATGAGTGGCACCGTGAACTGGCAGAGTACACGCTGTAGGCCTGACACACCCGCTTGAAGACAACTAACTGCTATTCAATCTATAACAGTGAAAAAAGTTTTTGTTTTAAAAATGCAAGCTATTGACACCAGATATATGAGTGGCACTGTGAACTGGCAGAGGGTTGGCAGAGTAGCTGTAGGGCTGACACACCGCTTGAAGACAACTAACTGCTATTCAATCTATAACAGTGAAAAAAGTTTTTGTTTTTAAATGAAGCTATTGTGACACCAGATATGAGTGCACTTTATGAACCAACGAGGTTGGCAGAGTACCGCTGTAGGGCTGACACACCCGCGAACAACTAACTGCTATTCAATCTATAACAGTGAAAAGTTTTTGTTTTTAAATGCAAGCTATTGTGACACCAGATATGAGTGACACTGTAACGCAGAGGTTGGCAGAGTACACGCTGTAGGGCTGACACACCAGCTTTGAGACAACTAACTGCTATTCAATCTATAACAGTGAAAAAAGTTTTTTGTTTTTAAATGCAAGCTATTGTGACACCAGATATGAGTGGCACTGTGAACTGGCAGAGGTTGGCAGAGTACACGCTGTAGGGGTGACACACCCACTTTGAGACAACTAACTGCTATTCAATCTATAACAGTGAAAAAAGTTTTTGTTTTTAAATGCAAGCTATTGTGACACCAGATATGAGTGGCACTGTGAACTGGCAGAGGTTGGCAGAGTACACGCTGTAGGGCTGACACACCCGCTTTGAGACAACTAACTGCTATTCAATCTATAACAGTGAAAAAAGTTTTTTGGTTTTTAAATGCACGCTATTGTGACACCAGTGAGTGAGTGGTGGCACTGGGCAAGTGGGCGCAGTATACTCTGCGAGCCTGACACACAGACGCTTGTAGACAACTAACTGCTATTCAATCTATTATAGTGAAAAAAAAAAAAAAATTTAAATGCAAGCTATTGTGACACCAGTGAGTGAGTGGTGGCACTGGGCAAGTGGGCACAGTATCCACTGTGAGCCTGACACAGAAACTGGCAGACAACTGCAATTACATTACATTTGGGGTGCTGTACTTACAGCAGAGATCAGATGAGTCCATTTCCCTATCAAATCAACAGCAGCTACACTTTCCCTCCTCTCACTAAGCATGCAGCTTGAGAATTAATCTAAAATGGATGCTGTCCAGTAGGTGGGAGGGTCTGCTAGGGAGGGTGTGCTGCTAATTGGCTGGAATGTGTCTGCTGACTGTGAGGTACAGGGTCAAAGTTTACTCAATGATTGAGAATAGGGGGCAGATCGAACCGCGCATATGTTCGCCCGCCGTGGCGAACATGCTATGTTCGCCAGGAACTATTCGCCAGGGAACCGTTCGGTGCATCACTATTTATGACCAGAGATTCTGACCTCTCAAGTGGTCTAAAAACATTCATTTTTCTCTCTGTTAAATTTATTTTGGAACACAATTATTTCTTTTTCAATGGAGCTTTTTATTTACAAATCACAGGCACTGCCATGGGCACCAGGTTTGCCCCCAGTTATTTCAATACCTACGTTAGGAGAAGGGAAGATCTCTTTGTTTGGTCGGGTCATGACTAGAGGGAAAACCTGGCGCTCTGGCGATGTTATATTGATAATGTTATTATTATTTGGAACGGGTCCTCTGCTCTTTTCTTTGCGTTTGTAGATTCTTTGAATTCTAATTTATATAATCTGATTTTTACACCTGTATGGAATAAAAAATAAATTCATTTTTTGGACTTAACTTTGTTTAACGAGGGGAGACATATCCGCACCAAATGTTATTTCAAACCAACTGATGGCAACGGCTTTGTACATCAAAAAAGTTGCCATCACAAACCTTGGTTGAAGGGAATAGCCAGGAGTCAATTCACACATCTGAGACGAAATTGTTCACATGATCAAGATTTTCTGGCCCAGTCTCAACACATTAAAAAGAAACTACTGGAGAAGGGTTATGAGAGAAATGCCCAGGAAAAAAAGATATTCACCATCTGTCTCAGATAGAGAGGAATACTCTCCTAATCGATAAACCTCAACACAATTCTTCTGTCAATTTGTTTAGGTTTGCCTTTATGACTCAATACAACACTGATCACCACAAGATCAAAAAAAGTTTAGCAAATCATTGGTCTATATTATTACAGGACCCAATACTTGGGGCCCATTTATCCAACTATCCGCAGATTATTTACAGAAAAAATAAGAATTTGAAAAATATGTTAGCCCCAAGCTATGCTATTAAATCAGACTCAAGAATGAGAGACAAAGGTTCCTTTAGGGGGTGTAATGTATGTAAAGTTTGCCGGATGACTTCTATACAGTGGTCCAGTACTTTTTCTAGCCATATAACCAGTGACACGTATCATCTAAAGTCAAACATCAGTTGCCACATGGACTTTGGTGTATTTTTACTCCAATGCCCTTGTGGCAAGCAATACGTGGGTCGCACAAAACGAGCCCTCAAAATTCGGCTTTTGGAACATTTGAATAATATTAAGAAAAGACTCACAATCCACTCGGTCCCTGTGCATTGTAATACATGTCCCTCCTTTTCTTTGAGGGACTTTAGATGCACAGGCATTGAGAGAGTTTTCCAACACTGGCGTGGCGGGGACTGAGTTCAACAACTTTCTAGACGAGAAACTTTTTGGATCCATAAATTAAGAACATTAGAGCCCTATGGGCTAAATGTGGATATTGATCTGGTTTGTTTTTTATAATCCATATGTTATTTTTATTTCTCAGGCATATATATTCATTTATGGGCTTTACATTTCCCCCTTTTCAATATATAGCAAGTCCTGTATTTTTTCTGTGACTTTAAAGACCAACAATACCTCTGCTTTTCATAACTTCAATGTTTCACAACTAAATAGCTAGTGATTATATTGATTATTGCTACCTTTGATGTATATTAATATCTGTTCGTTGATATAATGTACAATATGACCAAAATATAGACATGTGTATACATTTTATTTTTTTCTTTATTATTTTTTCCTTATTTTTTAAAAAAATATCTTTAACAAACATTTGTATGGATATGGAATTTTTTAAATATTGAAATTTTCCTTATAACAATTAATTTGATAATCAAAAGGATTAATATTTGATAAAATGCGCTCTATTGATTTCCCATATATATGGGGGTGTATTATATTAATTACATGCTGTTGCTGCTGACTTCTTTTTGATTTTAGATAGATACACTCATTACTAATAATATGGGACTACTCTTCTGGCGACCACCGGAGGGCACTACCCGGATGTTATACCATCTTTAGCGTTGACACGCATGATGGAACGCGGAAACCTGCGATTAGTATTGACACGCATGGTGGAACGCGGAAGTCTGCAATGTACGTCACTTCCGGTTCCGGCTTCACTGATACGAACGCGTTTTTTTTCAATTGGGAATTAGAAGATATTCATCTACAGCTGAGGAAGCAATCGGACCGGACCAATGAAGACCGGGAAATAAGGAGACGCCCATGAATTCCATCAGGGACACAGGGAGTAGCCATATATATTGGGACTATGGGGATGGAGGAATTAGGCTACTTTTTTTTATTGCTACTGTTTTGTTATTGTATTCATTTTATGGACCCTGAGGAAGTTCACATGTGTGACCGAAACGCATAGGACCTCTTGGTTATATTTTAGAATACTATTTTTTTAAATAATTTGGTGGAATTCCTTTCACCTTATTAATAAAGCTGTTATTTCTTTCACCATCACTGGAGTCCTGCATTGTGTATCCACCGGTGAACAACAGAAGGGATTATATAGCCCCCCATTATCATCGGGGGAGGCACCCTTGGTCCTATTATAAATTGTATTACACTATGTATGTTTTTTGTTTGTTTTAGATTTACAGCTGTATCCCAAATTTCTCTGTTTTATATCCTTGCTGTGTAAAGGTTACTTTTTCTGGGTAGTGACCTGGGAGGCTGTCGCATTATATCTTTGAGATAAGTATTTATCCTTACATTTTGGGGGCATATTTAGTGCCTTTATATTGTTTTTCTATTGTTTTTCTATTTCACTTCATCAAAAGTCTGACATCTGTACGGAGTCTCTGTGTTTAACCCCTCAAGGACACAACTTCTGGAATAACATGGAATCATGACGGAATATTTCCGTCATGTGTCCTTAAGAGGTTAAATAGCCAGCCAAATCTCTGCAGCTGTGTTTTAACTCCTTCTGGTACAGATGAATATGAGTATATTTTTTGTGTGAGATTTATGGTACAAATTAAACATCAATAATGATTTGAAGTCAGAGAAAATTATATAATAATTCAGAGTATTAATTAAATTAATTAAAACAGGCTTTGACATATAGATACAACCCAGTGTTACAAATGTGTCAATAATAAATAAACCTTTGAAAATAATAATATTAATAAATTGGTATATAAAAAAAATGAAATAAAATGGTACATATGAAAAAAGCACATGATTGTAGAATTCCATGCATATTGGTGAGATCCATGGGAGTTAACAGAAACTAATGAGAAAATGATGAATTTAGGAAGATATAAGAATAATTTATAAAAATGCATTTAATTCAAAGTCCACATTTAACCCTTTAGGCTCTAAAGTGCCTAGCTTCAAGATCCATTTTGCTTTGGCTTTATCTAATTCTTTTCCTAAATCTCCTATTCTCCATGGGATATTTGTTTTATTTATGTTCGCCTACTCTTCTTTTTAATGCTCTTTTTGTTCTTCCTATATATCATTTGTTACAATGGCAGCTAAGCATGTATATGAGACTGTGACGGTAGTATACGGTATCACCGTCAAGCATTCCCTTCTTCCCATAAAAGAAAATCACCCAATACGCCACAAGTAGAAATATCCCTGGTATCGCCGAATAATCCACACATGAGCCAAAGCTTAATGCTGGAACAAGACTGATTTACTGAAAGCAACAGGCATTCAATTTAAACAGTAACAAACTCCTCCTCTGGGCCAGGCTATATAATTGAGTTTCAGCAATACACAAAGCTCAATTATCTCCTGTCCAGAAACATTATAATTTTTAACAATTTCAGAAAAGTACTTTTTATAATACCTACAACTATAATTTTAACATCCCTGGGTAACTGAGGATACTGGTAGTCACATATCCAAATCTCACGAATTTCCGTTCGGTAGTTTCCGTGTCGCATCGTGTGGAAGTTTGACCGGCTCGCCATGAGGGGGTATCCGAGTTAGAGTTCCATAAAATCAGTAGCAAGAGCCGGTCTCTGTTCGCGTCTAACTACACGAAAACCACAGTTCATATGGTGCAGCTGGTTACATGCGAATGTTCCCCTCATTCGGTAGATTCTATCTACCGAATGCCAGTTTGATTCGTGGAGGGGAACGTATTCATCCAGGACTTCCATGAAGACCGGGCGTTCGCATGTTTGCCTTGCCGAAAATAGTTCCAGGCCATTCATGCGTACGTCCTGCTGACCGCATTCGTGAGTTTTAAGATGGCCGCCATCCTTTGTTCTCACCACGTGTTCGTATACCGAATGGCGGCCACCTAGGAGCAATTAAGTTGCGGTTTTCTCCCTGTTCTAATGCTGATTGCTACCCAGGGTAGGTGGTCTCTCATTCGGTAGACGAATACAATTATTCAATACATACTTAAACAACCTATTACAAGTATTTGAACAGCAGCGAGAAGGTACAACTGAAGGCATACACGTAAGTACATGAAATCTTTCACAGAGACCTATAGTGTTACAGTTTAAATGAGTTTTAATTTTGAATTTTTCTTTAGTTTGTGGATGAATTAATTCCTTAATTGTTTGTGGTTGTTCTGGATTATTTATGCATTCCCTACATTTTTTACATTACCAAAAGCCTGGTTTTGCTTTTAATTGTGTAAAATTAATTTCCTTTTTTCCCCTTTTCATTTTTAGTAATTGGTGCTAGTATTGTATTAAGGTTTGGGGCTTTAGAATAAATAATTGTTGGTGTTTGTCTTAAAATGTTGTCTAGTTGAAGATCCCCTTTTAAAATGATTACATTTTTAAATACAAAAAAATCTTTCACTATATCACAATTAGTAAAGTGACTGTGCCTTTAAATGCACAGATTGCAAATAGAGTGTTTCAGTGAATTAAAGGTGCATATAGCAATGTATAAAAGCTTGAACTTCCATTTTAGTTTAGGATTAACCCGAAGATCTCCTCAAATATTCAATTCAACATGTATACAATATATAGGGTGAATCCAGTTAAGGGAGACAAAATAGAATATAGTGCAACACTGTGGAACCCAAATAGGGGATTATATATGTGCCAACGGGTCACTCACACTTTGTGTTCAATATACAGGCATTCAGAGATCTTTGGATGTGTGTCCTCCTGGTTCTTGATAATATGGGTCTCGGTCATATGTAAGAATAAAATATAACCAAATAAAATAACTGTAGAACAAATGTGCAGTATAAAACAGATTTACTTACACAAAAACAACTGGCATCAGGTAAAGAATCAACTCGTGCAACTCATTCAATTTTTATGTAGAATGTTGTGTATTTGATGAGTTTGATTATCAAATCTTATTCTAAATGCTGGATTATCTGTGTGAATTTCTTGAGTTTTCTGTTTTGTTTCGAAGATTTGGTTCCATGGTAGTTCCATGGTTCTGATAATGGCCTGATTTAATAGGTTTTTCAGAGTATCCTTTCACTTGAAATTGATGTTTCATTTTTTCGATTTGATTTTTGCAAACTTCAGGTTCCGAACAATTGTGTTTTATCCTTCCAAATTGACTGAATGGTATATTGTTGAGCCATGTTTGTTTATGGAAGCTGTCATTAGGGATGAAACTATTACATGCAACTGACTTCCTAAATGTTTTAGTTTCTATTTTGTTATTTTTCAAGTAAATTTTCAGATCTAAAAATTCTATTTTTTTCTTGAGAGTGGCTAAAAGTGAATTTAAGATTATAAGGGTTAAAATTTAGCTATTGCTTAAAAGATTCCAATGATTGAAGATCTCCTTTTCAAATAAAAATGCAGTCATCTATATAGCGCTGCCATAGGACTAGATTTTCACCATATGGGGAGTTGGTCCAAATGAATTTGTCCTCCTATTTGCCCATGAAAAGGTTGGCGTAACTTGTCACAAATCTAGACCCCATGGCAGTACCCTCTATTTGTAAGTAGTGTTGGTTGTTGGCCCAGAAATAATTATGGCTCAAGAAGAATGCTACACATTTCACTATATATTCAATTTGATCATTTTTTAGTTCAGAATGTGTTGCCAGTGCATTATGGACTGCCTCGCATTCTTGGAGATATTCTATGACTGTATAAAGCGACGTCACGTCTGCTGTAACTAGGATGTATTTTTCTTTCCATTCTATTGTGGACAGAATTTGTATAATATGAGTAGTATCTCTTAAATTAGATTTTAATTTAACTACTAATTTTTGTGAGAATTTATCTATGTATTCTGACAGGTTTGATGTCAGGGAGCCAATGTACGAGATGATCGGTCGTCCTGGAGGGTACACTGATGTCTTATGTATTTTTGGTACATGATAAAAGACTGCCATTCTGGGAAATTTGCAATACATAGTCATATTCCTTTTGGTTTAAAATACCTCTATTGTTTCCTTCTTCTAAAAGAATTAAAAGTTCTTGTTTAAATTCCTCACAGTGGTTTTGTTTTCAAATTTTATAGGTTTTTTTCATCATCTAGCAAGCTTTGTTTTTTTTTTTTTTTACAATCAGTCAGATTTAAAATAACAGGGCCTCCCCCTTTATCTGCAGCTCTTATTACAATTTGTTCATCTTCCATTACATTTTTAAAGCATTTCTTTCTTTTTTTGTGAAGTTGTCTTTGGTTTTTCTTTTTAAATGTAATGCTCGTTTTCCATGTTCTTTTCAGAAACCCTAATGTGATCTGTTTTGGTTTATTGAGGGTAAAATGTGGATTTTGGGTGTAAAGTAGTATGTTCATATTGGTTACTCTGTGAAGATCTATTGGTATGCCATCATGGGGGTAATTTTAATTCCTGGGCTACCATACGCTCTCAAAGGCAGCGTAACCAATCTGGTGAATTTCAATGTGAAAAAAAAGGAAAATCAAGCCTTATATTTGACCCAGTAACTTTCAAAAACACTATAAAACCTGTACATGGGGGGCAACTGTTATACTCGGGAGACTGCGCTGAATACAAATATTAGTGTTTCAAAACATTAAAACGTTTCACATCAATATCATCAGTGAAAGTGTGGTTTGTGTGTGAAAAATGCAAAAAAAATCACTTTCACTAACAATGTCATTGCTGTGATATGTTTTACTGTTTTGAAACACTAATATTTATGTTCAGTGAAGTCTCCCGAGTAAAACAGTACCCCCCATGTACAGGTGTTAGGTTGTCATGTAATGTTACAGGGTTAAATACAGTGCTAGCAAATTAAATTCTCTGGACTTTCGGCCTGGGTTGTCAGGCAGATCCCTCAAATTGCAAACAATAAAATTACTTAACTATGTAAAAATATTACATAAATATGCATGTAGAATTTAAATATATATACATATTTTTATATTTGATGTCTACGTGTATATTTATGAAATGATTTATGTAATTTTCAGGAAGTATTACTTTACTGAGAGGGTAGTGGATGTATGGAATAGCCTTCGAGCTGAAGTTGTAGAGGTTAACACAGTGAGGAAGTTTAAGCATGCGTGGGATAGGCATAAGG